TTCCATACTGAGGCTGATGTTGCATTCTTGATGCTTCTTCACCGCAGTTAGGCTAAACCAACTTACACTTAAACTAGGTCTTTCTAAGCTGGCTAAATTTCATTCTACTTTATTTGGTTTGTTCTGCCTACCTGAATAATCTTCCATTAACTGGCCACTTTTCTTACACTAATTGCGCTTATCTTCGATAACTTTGTTGTGTTTGTAGCTTTTTTAAGTAAGTTGTGGACATTTTTCCTTATCGCGGATTCGTTGCTAACCAACTTACTACATATGCTAATTTATCGATTACATATGCCACCGTATCTGTATGCATTATTGGGTTATTTTATTTCGTCTTGTCGTTCCAAGTGATTGGCTGTTGCTTGATATCCCCGGTGTGGCTGCGCTTGATGTGCATGTTGACAAGGTGCCTACCTGTCTATTACCCACTACCTCGTCCATACTGGCTCCAGGAGACTGCTGGTCGTTGCTGGTGGGAACGGGGTGCACGGTCCTTGTGGCCGTGCTAGGCTCCAATAGCGGTTCCATGCACTCAGTGTGGAGCGGACTACGATCCAGCCACCGCCTTGCGTGCGCTTGATTCTCCAAATACTTCGTGCTTGTGTTTGCCTGTGAAGGAGTGTGGGCCGGCTCCGTTGATGAAATGTGGTTCCCATCTACATGTCTCCCGGTCTTATTCCTTAGGGTTTACATTGGATATGGTGTGTGTGGTTAGAGCTGTGGGTGGTGCAGCGCAAGCCACCCATGGTCCCTCTTTAGGCGCAGGCGTCCTGTGGCTTGCCACAGTGACAGGCAAATTCGAAACCGGATGCCGCCAACCATATATATATATATATATATATATATATATATATATATATATATATATATATCACAATATGTATACAGATATTTTGCCGTCGGAAAAATCCCTGAATGGAAAAACAGGACTACGGTAAAATAAAAAAAGAAAAGCAAACCTTTTTGTCTATTTTCCAATTCGCAGTTGTTGAGCTCTTTTGCATGTTTATCGAGAGTGGAAAAAAGAATCGCCGCAACAAGCAGAAATACACGGCCGCTACTGAGTTCCGTTATGAGCCACGACTGCCAAACTTTCTAATCAGCGACACTCAGCACCTTTGGGACCCCATTCATAGATTCGTGTATAACCCACTGGGACCAGCTCTTTTATCATCTTTTTCTTTCTGTTTCTTCAAGTTGTACGCTGTCCACCACCCCACTTTCTCCAGCCCTGCCCACCGACCGTGAACATGGTACGACGCGGAAGCCGCGGGACGGGCATACTCAGTACGTGTCCCAGCCATTCTAGTTGGCCTAGCGAGACAAACGCTTCGAAGGAGTGGCTACCTCCACCCCAGTCATGTTGTCCGACTTCAATGTTGTTTACCTGGTTCAGCCACCAAATACGGGCAATGGACCGCAAGCAACGATCCTCGAAGACAGACAGTCGGCGCAGGTCATTGGTACTAGCAGACCAAGTATTGCAACTGTGCAACAGTACAGCGCAGACGGTCGCACTATAAACCCTCCCTTTGACGGAGAGATGGTGTTACATGTGTGTCGTCCGCTAAACCGCTGAGCCAATGAGCAAACACAGACACATACAGATCGAGTGACCGATAGCTGATTCGTCCACTCTTTTTCCTTGTGCAGATTGGTTCCTTTTCAACTTATTCATCTGGTGTAACCTACAAGCTATCTATTACAGTTTTTGACAAGTCCCATCCGGTGTGTGTGTTCTTATTCACTTCTTGCGCGGACTAAGGGTCCAGGTGCGATCCAGTAATACTCGAGTAATACGTAGCAGAATGGCGACGGTTGCCAAGAGCCCTCTTGCGGGACTGTCATGTCTGTGGCCTGATA